TCCTGGCTGCCAACATTTCAGTGAGTGACATTTTGCCTTGGGGTCATAGGGACCGGTTAGGTCCAGTGCAGAGACCGCATGGAGGTCTAGGAGGGCATAGTCACCAATCCGAAAATTATATTAATCATTTTAGGCCATGTTTGGGATCCTTCAGGAGGTGCATTATAACCTAAAACTGTTAGATGTGTTAAAGAGGAAAGACAGTTTTCAAAGATAGTGATCGTGAGGTGACAATGCCTAGCTTCAGTCCAATAAAGTAAGACAAGTTCTATGGATGAACAACTTCTTTATTACAATGAGTTCACTAATTGAAGTTGAATTGAAAGAAGTTGTTCATCCATAGAACTCGTCTTACTTCATCACACCAACTTCTAAATGCCTCTGAAAGAAGTTCACTCCAATATGTGAGTTCTTGGGGTGTACACCAGAAACAAGCTTCACACAAAGTACCAAACGATTGTTTTTATAAACAATAATAGACCAAATGCAAAGTCTCTGGCAATACCAGTCTTCTTATGAAGAGAACAAGTCCTTCTCGAAAGTAAATAATGATGTGAGTAACAGTAAATACCAAACATATTATACTGTCAGTCGCAGCATATTGTGGAGCTGTTCCACTAAACTAATCAATGGACATAACTTCATGTCAAGTAATTTTAACTTCACAAACTTATTTTTAATTGGACCTCATTCTAATTTTTTAAAAGGTATGAACAACTCTCACCAGCTGATTTAATCGATGAACTTGCAACATAACAAGGACTACTACAGCTTGCACTTGAAGGCATTCCCTGTCACAGATGTGTGAACAATAAATCAAGACCAACAGATCTGTCATATATTTCTGCAAAACAGTTCTTGTTCTCTTCCATAGCACTAAAATCAATAATATTAAACATAAGGCTCTAAAAGATGGAGTGAAAAACACCTTAAAGCTGATTGGTCAGTTTAAATAATATGTCATACTGTACATGTTACAATGACAGAATGAGATATAATGACATAGTCCGAATGTCGGGGAGGTGAAATGGGATTTAACGTTGTGGTCAAGGTTATTGCGCTTACATAGCGACGTACGCATGTGGTGTGGTGTGGTGTGGTGTGGTGTGGTGTGTGTCTGCTTGTCTGATTTTATAGCACAAGGCCAATAAGATACCATGCCGCATTTTAACATGAATACCTCACTCAGACCCGGTACACCGACTCCGATCCGACATGTCCTTGTTTTAGCACCTTAATGCCGAGCACCGGGCAGGGCAACAACAAGTACCATCTTTTAACATCTTTTGGTATGATGCAGACAGGGATAGCAACCCTTGACCATCTGCTCTCCGGGCAGATGCTCTACCACTAGACCACAGAGGCAGTCACCAAAAACATAACCACAATAATACATTGTGTCAGATTCCCCATAAGCAGTATCACATGTACTACATCAGCGGAGCTTGCATCAGGATGCACAAACCTGCTACAATGTATTTACCATAGGTGATGTGTGTGCTTACAAAATTGACAAAAGGAAGGCAATTATTAAATCCATACACGAGTTACATGTTTCCCCCCAAAAAAACTAGCAGTAATGAACAAACTAAGTTTCAACAAAAGTTAAAACTAAACAATATTTTAAAAATAGTTACTACACAATCACATACCCCTTTTCCACTTCTGCTTTCGATAAAACAAGAAAACATGTGAATTTTCAGTCCTTGAAGGGGGTGCTTTTGTAGATTACTTTCTTTGTTGTTTAACGCCGCACTCAGCAATATTCAAGCTATATGACGGCAGTCTGTAAATAGTCGGGACCAGACAATCCAGTGATTGACATGAGCATCGATCCACGCGATTGGGATCGATGATATGCATCAACCAAGTCAGCGAGCCTGACCCCCCGATCTTGTTAGTCGCCTCGTACAAAAAGCATGGGTTGCTGAAGAACTATTCTACCCCGGATCTTCACGGGTCTTGTAGATTACTAGAGATTGGTCAGGAGTTAGTCAGGGGGCACATATTGGAACAGGGTGCATATCATATCATATATATATACGGCAAATCCAATTTCCCACCATTTCCACATACATTTAATTCCTCATAAGTCATTGGTTCTTCTATTCTACTGAAAAGACATTAAAGAACACCAATTTTTTCATTTGACTATCATGGGGCCCAGAGGACTCAGTGAGATGGAGGGAAAAGTTCGCAAATCATACCAATGCGAAAAATGAACTCAGGACTTATAGTGAACAAGTTATTTGGGTTTATTGTTGTTTTGTATGGTATTCCTGTAAAATCACAATTTGTCAGTTTGACGTGGGAGGAAAGCCTGAAGTGATGCAGGTCTTAAAAGCATAAAACTTGGGTCAAATCTTCTGGAATGGGTACGGTGCTGACAAACCTAGAAATAATCAGGGCAATGCTAGGATTAAAACCCACAATCATAGGTTACAGAATTTTTCTGAAATTCTGACAGAAATGTCACAATTACTCTCCTGCACTTTCCTATTTCAAAGTCATGTGCTCAAACTCTGAGGCTATTGTCTACAACTGCATTGTATCTACAGTTACAACACCTAGTTGAACCAGGTCTTTGAAAGGTATTTAGAAGTGATGCACATAAGGAAGAGAATATATGGATGTCAACTTCTTTATTATGAGGAACACAATGTTTCGGAGTATATGCTTACTCCTTCGTCAGGTGAATGATGAAGGAGTAAGCATATACTCCGAAACGCTGTGTTCCTCATAATAAAGAAGTTGACATCCACATATTCTCTTCCTTACCTTGCTGAACGACTAATACAGTTTAGTTTCTGCAAAAATGGATCAACTTGCAAAGAATTATATTTATTTCTAATTTAACTTTATTGCTGATGTTTAACATGTAGGAGAAAACAGAAAATTGCAAATACAATATAATTGCTACTCTGTACATGATATGATAAAATCTTTCAGGCTGTTTGTAAAACAACAATTCAGCAAAACAAAAATATCCAGACTACAGCATTTGTTGCCATGCTAGTCTTAAACAAAAATCACATATGAACTACTGAAGAACAATCTAATTTACAAAAACTCAACAGAAGACAAACCTGACCATCCATCAAAACAATGGCCGCAGCAGTGCTTGTCTTCTTCGTGGACCATGCATCAAATAGGAGACCAATTTAGCTAAAACCACCTGACCCTCCATAAAAACAATATGGGAAATGGTGGACCTTCCAGTATCTCCACCAAACACTCATCCATAAAATAAAACAAGTCAATTTGAAAACAAATCACATACATACACCACCACATACTAGCAGACACGCATACATGAGTGATCTTGCCAACCCTAAACAAATCCCTTCAACAATAGATCGTTCCAGCCAGGAGACAGGGAGTGAAACCAGGCACAGAATAGACTCAGTCAATCGAACAATATCAAGTAGTTTCAAATACAATGGAAAACGCTTAAATAAGGCTATGTGATATACTAATGTAGATGGATTGGGAAAAGTTAATACTACACGACACGTCTTTTCTCCATCATCTTCCCATAATGCCTCACACTCATTTATTGCTACAGAACCGCCTGGAAAGGAATAAGCCCCCTTTATCATGATCTTCCCACCAAGGTGCCAGACCTCCCATCCATCGGTACGTCTTTGTAAAACTACTCTCAAGCTGTTTCCATGTTGTTTCTATTTGTATTGTCCATGGGAGAGCACCATTACTGGCACGACAGCACACTTCAGGTACTCCAGCGAGTACAGTTTTATGCCATTAGGAGCCATTTTCTAAACATAAAATTGCAGGGACACCAATATATTGGCTTCAGTCAAAGGTTTTCTTTTGTTAACCAATTCACTTGACACTCTAAAGAGCTGTAGTCTTAATACTTCACTATTTTAGTTCAATGTTGTCAACAGAAATTCTAAGCAAGTATGTGCTAAAACATTATGTTAATTGTAATGCACCATATACCTGTGGTAATCATATTAATGTTCAAATGAAAACCATTTTTTGTGTTCATAATGACAAGACAAATCCATCTGAAGTTGTCACGTTAAGTTTGTTCTCGTCAAGATATCTACTATATTTCAGGAATGTTTTAATGAACAGAGCTCCAGACAACTTTTCAAACAATTGAGTTTTTATTCCAAGGTTTCTATTCTAATAGGGTTATCACATTTTTCATTGGGTAACCAATATTTTTTCACTCATCTATTCATCACTATTGGGTTTTCCCAAAATGAGTATAAGCATTTTGAGATTTTCAAAAAATGAAATAATGTTTTAGATGTATATAAGGGTTCTAAATATAGGCTTGACTCAGAAAGTAAATTAGCTCGTTATTGTGTTTTGGAAATTAGCTCCGTTGTACGCATGCTGAAAAAGCTTCATTGGCTGTTTACGCGTACTGTTTTCAAACAACTGAGTTTTTTATTAAATGCATGCGTTTCTGCACACAAGTTAATTGAAAGTTATTTGGGTTTTGAATAGTTTTGGGAGATATTTTACGCAAATAGGCAGCTTATCTGTAGCTCTGAGGAAGAATTAACTTCAATATGTGTTGCCTTAAGGAGGCATAAACATAAAAGCCAACGTGATGTACACACTGTATAAATGAGAGTAGTTCCTGTAAACTTTTAGCATTCAAATTCAAAAGTAATTCCAATAAACTAGCACTGAAACATACCTGCTGAATCGTCTGCTCAGGTCAACCAAACTGTTCACAGGTAAATAAGCCAAAATAATGATGGCTGCAGAAATTATTTTTTTTAACAGTATGGAATATACCAGACCCCTCAGGACAACAGTTAATGGGAATTTGTACTTATGTTTATTCAACTTGTAACGGTAATATTGAATACTATTAGTGTAACAACATATCCCAGCTTCAGTCCTACTCAGACACCCTCTGGACACTCAAAATATCCCACCAAAAGTTGAGTAATATATTTGAAATATGGTAAACAACTTGAATGCATGACAAAAATGAGTAAATAAATTTGACTGACCTCATTACCAAGGTTGAAGAAGTATCGCAGTGTGTTCATATCTGAAACAGAAGACAATGACTGCTACACTCTCTCTCCTGATGATTCCCATACTGATAGCAGCTTGCCGACGACTTGCCCCAGGAATACTAATAACTTTGGTTACCTTGGCAACGAATCAAAAACTTTGATGAAAGATATCAAAGTAATAATACATGAATGAGTGCTGAGTGTATCCCAGGATATTAGCTAAAGGCAAGGACTTATTTTCAGACGTAAACACTTTAATAGTTGCCCATGTCCACATCAATTTAACAGGTTGTTATTGTTCTGAGTGAGTGAGTGAGTGAGTGAGTGAGCTGGTTTTACGCCGCTTTTACGGTAAGTATGGCTGGCTGAAAACCTATTCTACCCTGGACCTTCACGGGTGTTGTAGGCAATGAAAACAAAGAACTAGCCACACACTAGTTGTACAAACAAAACAGTGCAGCCATGTCAACTGTCAGTCGTTATTCTGGGCAGGTATGGACATAACTATTTACACAACACTAAATCAAGCAGCTGACCTCCATGCCTGATGTGCATCAATCAATCCATGGCTGTCGCATGTACACTGGAATAAGTGAGTGAGTGTTATTTATCCCCTCTCTGGACAGTATTTCAGTTATATCACAGCATGGCAGCTTCATATAGGAAGAAAACCCAAAGTGATGCAGGATCTAGATATCAACCAATAATGTTCAAAGCAGCCATTCACCACTTTGGTGAAACCCACCATCACGAGTGAGGCACGGACAGACTCAGGATCATAAATTGGGCAAACCTTCGACCTGAACCCAAGACAAGCTGATTCGGACAACTAACAGTAGTCAACACTGCACAGGCATGTCCTGCAACCTGGTCTACTGGGCCAATCTCATTACTCTTCTTTCCAGAGAGGGTCTATGGTTGAAGCGTTTGCTCGTCACGTCAAGGAAACAGGTTCAATTCAACACATGGGAGCAATGTTTGAAGCCTACTTGTGGTGTCCCCCACTGTGGTATTGCAGGAATATAGCTAAAAGCGGCATTAAACCACTTACTCCTAGAGATTACAATTTTCCCCAAATGTCTGATGACTCACTTTAGATAGCACTCTAAAAACATAGTTAATTATTGTTCCAGTAATTTCAACTTGAGATCAGCTGCAGAATTCCTGCTTTAGAATACCTCATCAGACATGACTTCTACAACTCAAACATGTACCTGACAGGGGCAAATCTTTGCCATATGGATCTTGAGATGGTCCCCAACTGAAGTTCACCTGACCAATGGATGAAGCATAGGGTACGTTGACTACAGGCACTAGATACACAGGGGGTTGTGTCATAGGCAGGGGGGCCTGGGAGCTGGTGCTGGACGAGGCTGACGACACAGGCACTGTGCAGTAATGACCACCACCGCCGTTCTCCAGGGGCTCTGAACTCTCAGGAACAGGTGCTTGAGGTATCGGCATTCTCTGCCCAATGTCAAGGGGGCGGCAGCTACAAAAACAGTGTTATTAGCAAGAGGATAACACAAGATGTCAGCATTACTACAGAACTAGTTTGCAATTTACAGTAAACTATGCTTATAATGAACACAACAGGACCACTAATTTTAGTTTGTTTTATAACCATAGTTCGTTATAGTGAGTGAGTGAGTGAGTATGGTTTTATGCCGCTTTTAGCAATTTTCCAGCAATATCACGGCGGGGGACACCAGAAAATGGGCTTCACACATTGTACCCCTGTCGGGAATCGAACCCGGGTCTTCAGCGTGACGAGCGAACGCTTTAACCACTAGGCTACCCGACCGCCCTAGTTCGTTATAAGCATATATACAGCTTACAAACAACAAATGGAGGGGACCAAGTAACAATTCATTATATCCGTCGGTTCGTTATAAGCGTGTTCGTTATAAACGTAGCATGTCACCTCAAACAGCAGTTTTGTTTTGTTTGTTTGTTGTTTAATGCCCCACTCAGCAATATTCCAGTTATATGACATCGGTCTGTAAATAATGGAGTCTGGACCAGACAATCAAGTGATTAACATCATGATCATCGATCCAAGCAGTTGGGATACGATGACATGCATCAACCAAGTCAGCAAGCCTGACAACCGGATCCTGTCAGTCGCCTCTTACTACAAGCATAGTTGCCTTTTACGGCAAGCATGGGTTGCTGAAGACCTATTTTACCCCAGATCTTCACTGATCCTCAATCCACAGTACAACAGCTACATCACAGTGACATGCAACATATGTTACATTAGACAGCAATACTGAATTGATTACAACTTTTAAAATATTAAACCCACATTTAATGTTCCAAACATAAAAAAAGATACAACAAACCCCTTAAAGTTAAAGTCTACAACCATTGTTTCAAGAATTAACATCCAAACTTACAATGCAGGGAAGAGTTGCCTACCTGTTATTGTTGGGTGTCCAGACAGAGCGTGTGAGTGGGGATCTGCTGGGCGAGATGTGGTAGTGTTGTGAGGCTACGTCCACGGAAGTAACTGGCATCAGACACTGAAACAGCACCACAGTGACCACTATATACCCACACACACAATACAGCTATTAAACAGGCTCGTAAAACGGTTTCCACCACACAGGGGGCTAATACCCATAGGGCCACATACTGTTAATGGTCCTGTTCTCAACGTGGGCAACAGTGTTGGGACGTTCTGGGCATTTTGTGGGGACATGATTTGCAACAAACACCTTTTTGTCATATTTATAAGTGCTTTGACAATACATACTGAATTCATGAAGTTCTTGGAACACACAAAAATATTTTCTAGTTTTACACATTTTCTGAGTGATTGTGTCAAGAAGTAAGGAATATAAACTGTGTGATTTTACTCAAAAGTATGTCTCTCCCCTCCATTTTTGGATACATTAGTTAAGTTGTTACTGTAAATGTGTTTGCAAATCTGAAAAATAATAATAGCAAATTATAGCCTAGAAAGATAATGGTTTCATGAAGTAACATTCATTAACTGCAGAGCTGAGGCAATATTTCAAAATAGCAAAAGGCACCAGTAAAGCTGGTGAGCAATGTCATCCCAAATTTCAGTGAAATGTGTTTAACGGCTTTCAGGATATGGTTCAGAAATGAACCCTAACCTCATTTGAGACAGCCAATGTTGTTTCCATGGAAACATAAAAAAATACAATTAGGAACATTTATTAAATAGCAAAAGGCACCAGTTAAGCTGATGATATATATATGTCAAGTTTCATTGAAAATCACTGTACAGTTTTCACGCTATGGCTCGGAATAGGATTGGACGCCAATGCCAACGATACTGAGCCAAAAACAATGTCTCCCCTCCCTCTGAGGGGGAAAGACAGACATAGTTACAAGATGTCGAGGTTGATATGAGGCAATTTCCATGCATGGCCAACATGCAGCACAATCAAATAATTAAAATAATGACGAAACAAAAACGTTCAAATATTGCTATGAAAGTTATTGTACATCAGAATGACTGAAAACTACAGTCTTTACTCTTTCAACTGCAAGTTTGGGTCATACCACATGATCAAATATAAAAGTGACTAAATAGCATGGCCTTTCTTCTATCTCTCAGCTGTAAGCTTGCGTTATACGACATGATCAAATACAGTTGAGTGGTTTTTTTCTAAGACCTCTTTGATAAGTAATCCAGTTATATCACGATGTGTCAGTTTACAGTGGAAGGAATCCCACAATGTGATGCTACTTTGGTGAATCCCACAAGGAAAGCCATAATCAGGGAAAACCGGAATTCGAAGCAATGACCATCGGTTTGTGGCGTGCCCAAAAGACGCGACAGCACAGCAAATTGTGGTACCTTAGACGACTGGGATATCCATGCCACTTTATCATATACATAACTATTGTCTAATTTCGTCGAAAAAATTACCAAAGTATATCTTGTTCTTTTTCGTCATATTTAAGCCAGCTGGAACAATTAATTGGCAAGCTTGGATGAGACCTTTTTTCAGTTGTTACACAATTAAGTGAGTGAGTGAGTGAGTGAGTGAGTGAGTGAGTGAGTGAGTGAGTGAGTGAGTGAGTGAGTGAGTGAGTGAGTGAGTGAGTGAGTGAGTGAGTTTGGTTTAACGCCGCTTTTAACAGTATTCCAGTTATATCGCGGCATGTCAGCTTAATGTGGGAGGAAAGCCCGAAGTGATGCAGGTCTCCGACGTTTACCACTTCGTTGAAACCCACGAGCACGGGTATGGTGCTGACAAACCTAGAAACATAATCGGGGCGAACCGGGATTCGAACCCACAATCATAGGTTTCTGGCGTGCCCAAGGGACGCAACTCTGCACAGCGAATCGCGGCGCCTTAGACGACTGGGCCACCCGTGCCCCCTTTACACAATTAAGGAAGGAGCTGAACTCCGATGAAACAAAACACTACAATATAATCCCTTGATTAATTTATGCAAAATAAAAAGATTCTATGAAATAAAAGACAATATTCTTTTAACATATCAAAACAATACATTCACTATTGAACTGAAGATCTACTATCAAGTATTGGTTTATTATTTTATTGAACGTAAGAGCATTTGTCAGTTTGAATTTCGCAGCCATTGTCCCAACAATGAAGGATGAGAAGACAAAAAGGCCAACATAAACCGGGGACTGTTAGATTAAGAACCAACAGCTGTGGGCTACAAGGCAGATTCCTTCCCTAGAGGGCGATATACACACAGAGCAGGGGCACCATCTTGGATTGCAATCAAACAGTCCACAGCCTAATCAAAAGTTCCTCTGCTTAACAAAAGATTAGAAAGACATAACTCTTATCTCACACAGGTAATATAGAGATTAGATGTATTTGATGTGTGCACATACATAAATCTGTAGCTTGTTACACACTTTGATGACTAACCTTAATTGCTTGGCTCAATAACACTGCACATAAGGAATCAGTATAACAGAAAGGTTGGATAATATTTAAATAATATCACCTTCAACAACAAACTTGAAATGAAGATACCAGTTCTACATGAGTATTTTTAAATACTTAATCATGTTTGTGTATTGTTTCAGTACCGGTATTAAAAACTGTGTCAATCATATTTTTACCCCCCACGACTGGTTTGTTACTGAAAAGTGAAAAACTAATTACTGAAATAATGTAGAAACATAAAGTATTCTAAAAATTTCAATTGTAAAGTCTAACCCCTCCGTTGCAGTTTAAAACTGAAATGCATAAAAGTACTTAATTACAAATAATATTCATATACTTAAATTCAGTATTCTTAACTTTGATGTGATCCACTGTTGCCGTTTAAAACTGAAATGTAATAATATCTAAATAATTATTTTTACACTATAATTTCAATATTGAAAGTTATCAGATTATTTTAAATTAAATGTGTATTTGAGGAGAAACTATGATCATATTAATACACGTGATCATGAAATATAAAAATGAAATGGTGTTTCCGAGTTGTATATGATCAGATAATTGAGATATTTTGTTTTACTGTGAAAAGCAGCAATTGTGGTCACAGACAAGAGAAACAATGTTATCAACTGCAACTACTCAAACATCTCTGGACCAGACAATCCAGTGATTGACATCATGAGCATCAATCCACTCAATTGGGATTGATGACATGCATCAATCAAGTCAGCAAGCCTGACCACCCGACCCTGTAAGTCGCCTCTTTATACGACAAGCTTAATAGAAATTATTTGACAACTTTGAATACTGAAATCCTAGTGTAAAAATTAATTAAATAATTTAGTATTCTATTACATTTCAGTTTTAAAGCCCAACAGTGAAGGTTAAAAGAAAACAATTGACATCAAACTTTTTAATTCTGAAATAGTATATAAATAAAGTAAATAAGTTTCATTTACAAACCAGTAGCGGGGGTGAAAAATATGACAGTTTTAAATACCAATAGTGAAACTATACATAAAGATTAAGAATTTTTTCATTATTCAGTAACAAGCCATATTATTTACAATTTACATTAATTAAGATCACATTTCCTTCACCAGAGCTCTATCTGCGTAAATACACAACTACACCCCCAAAACATTGAGTTGCTTGGCTACAAATATGCATGAGAAAACTTAACACACCAATAGGTTAACAGTGAGAGTTACCCAATGTATGCTTTCTAACTTGCGTACCTGTATTTCTGTACAAACACATACTCAGAAGCATCACACACATGAACTCTACTGGAATGAATAATGCAAGCTTGTCACTGCATGCTTATGCAACATGTTAGACACTGTGACAGCATTTTAAGCAGAATTTCTCTTTTTAAAATTCTACTCATTGGTGAAAAATACTAATAGAATGGTCCCAAAAGAGAAAAACTTGAATACCCACTGAACACTATGAACACCCAAAAAACACTACCAACACCAAACAAACCCACTATCAACACACACAGAACACTATCAACACCCAAAAAACACTACCAACACCCAAAAAACACTATCAACACCCAAAAAACACTATCAACACCCAAAAAACACTACCAACACCCCAAAAACACTATCAACACACACAGAACACTATCAACACCCACAGAACACTATCAACAACCACAGAACACTATCAACACCCAAAAAACACTACCAACACCAAAAAAACCCACTATCAACACCCACAGAACACTATCAACACCCAAAAAACACTACCCAACACCCAAAAAACACTATCAACACCCACAGAACACTATCAACACCCACAGAACACTATCAACACCCCAAAAAAATTACTATCAACACCCACAGAACACCATCAACACCCACAGAACACCATCAACACCCACAGAACACTATCAACACCCACAGAACACAAACACCCAAAGCTACCAACACCCACAGAACTATCAACACCCAAAGAACTATCAACACCCAAAGAACACTATCAGCACCAAAAGCTATCAACTACCAAAGAACTATCAACACCCAAAGAACTATCAGCACCCAAAGAACTATCAACACCCAAAGAACTATCAACACCCAAAGAACTATCATCACCCAAAGAACTATCAACACCCAAAGCTATCAACACCCAAAGAACTATCAACACCCAAAGAACTATCAACACCCAAAGAACTATCATCACCCAAAGAACTATCAACACCCAAAGCTATCAACACCCAAAGATTTATCAACACCCAAAGAACTATCAACACCCAAAGAACTATTAGCACCCAAAGAACTATTAGCACCCACAGAACTATCAACACCCATAGAACTATCAACACCCAAAGAACTATCAACAACCAAAGATCTATCAACAACCAAAGATCTATCAACAACCAAAGAACACCATCAACACTCAACATGGATGAAAATTTGTGAGTACTCAATGGCTGAAACTATCTGGAGCATGCTGCACGATGCAAACATCACACTCGTCATACTAAGCTCTAGTCTGAACCATATTTTCCATTCCGCCCAGCCCTTTCTGTAATGCAAATGTCTAAATGAAGCAAGTCTAGATTTTCCTCAGGTTCAGGATCTCCCATCTCACTGGGGCTGCTTTTC